CGGGGTGCGGAGGCGCGGGGCTGCGGGGAGGCAGGGCGGGGGCTGCGCGGCGGGCGGCAGTGTCCTGTCCCCGGTGTGTGCTTGTGCCCGTGAGCCTCCGGCTGGGCTCTGCAAGTCCTTAGAGCTCCGAGACGTCTCAGAGCTTGTTGACCGAGCTCGCGATGTCCCTCGGGGAGACCCCCGAACCCCAAAGCCCAGAGCGACCTGGAAAGAAGACTTCAGAAATAAAACAAAATAGATGCCTTCTTCCTTCACCTCGCCTCTGTCGCCGTTGCTGACTTCGTGGTTCTCGGCCTCCTGCCCTTGCCCCTTGGTTTGTTTTCTTTCTAGTTTTAGTTTGAAAGAAATGTGTCTTTGGGCACCTGCGAAGCTTGTCCTCGTTGCATTCCTTGGTTTCGATTTCAGTATCTTCTCATGTCTTAATTTTTTTTTTTTGAGAGGGGGGTCTCGCTTTGAATTCCAGGCTTGCCTTGAACTCACTCTGTAGCCCAGGTGATTCTCCTGCCTCAGCCTCCCAGAGTGTTGTGATCACAAGCATGCCCCTCCACACTCAGTTTAAATTGGTATTTTGTTTTGCTTTTGGTCTTTTTGAGACAGGGTCTCCCTATGCAGTTCAGGCTGGCCTTGACTCACTTTGTAGCCCAAGCTGGTCTCGAACTTGCAAGGATCCTCGTGCCTTAGCCTCCCAAGTGCTGGAATTACAGACGGGCGCCACCACGCCCGGCTTTAAATTGGTATTTTGGATAAGATTTTTAGGACTAGAAAGTTTAGTGTGTTGGGCAGCTCACAGAAAGGTCTCGAGGGAATGATGGGTCCAGAGCACAGTCATAATTTTGATTTCGAACACGAAGAAGTGTGTTGTCTGTGATCGTGAATGTAACTGCAGTGCCTTGCTTTATTCGAAATTCTTGTGTACAATGAGCACTGAATCTGTCAGACAGCCTGGCCATTGGGCTGCTGATATCTGTGTTCAGTGGCTTTTAACAGGAAGTAACAGCCTGTTGGAAATAAATTCTCATTGGCCTGCGCCTTGGCAAGTTCTCTCATGCTTTCTATTGCTTGTGCAGAGCCTTAACCTCTGACTATAGAGCAGCAATAAGAAGGAAGACAAAGCCTGCCTGGCATAATGGGGCGCCCCCTTAGCTCGGTAGCTGAAGACTCCCACACTTTGCCAAGGAGACCCACACAGAGAGTCTGCAGAATTGGATCCGCCTCTGAGTGCCAGGGGCAGAACTGGCTTCCAGAGGAAGAGTGCTGGGATATAGGCATGCGTGCGCCTCTGCGCCTGGCTTCAATCGTAAATCTTGTAGGCTGCAAACTTAGTAAAATCTCTTTGGAGGGGCTGAGGATATAGCTCAGTGGCATAAGCGCCTGCCTGGCAAGCGCGAGGTCGTGAGTTCAATCCCCGGTACCGCAAAAAAAAAATGTATGCCAAGGTATTAATATATCAAGCAGTAAAAAAAAAAAAAACAAAAAAAAAAAAAAAAAAAAAAAAAAAAAAAACTTCTTTGGAGAAGGCCATACCCTTTCTTAGGGTTGGTGGGGCACGACGTCTGAAGTGTCCCTTCAGGGGTAAGCGCATTGTGACCTGTCGCTCTGTACTCCAGGGCTGCTCTCTACAGGCTGGATCCAGCCAGTCACTGCTGGGCTGAGAGGCGGACACTCCAGAATGTGCTTGTTGGTCTTTCCCTTTGCTTTTGTTTTGAATACTTGTGCAACTCCTTGTGGGACTTTTAGCCCTGTTGTAGGAGACTAAAAAAGCTGTTTTTCTTTTTTATTCCATCGATCCAGCACTTTAGATCTCTGCTTCTGAAATAATATTGAAAGTTTCTCTTTTTTTTTTTTTTTTTTTTGGTCTTTTTGAGACAGTCTTACTGTGAAGTTCAGGCTGGCCTTGAGCTCACTTTGTAGCCCAGGCTGGCCTCGAACTTGCAACAATCCTCCTGCCTCAGCCCTCTCGAGTGCTAGGATTACAGGTGTGCACCACCACGCCTGGTGAAAGTTTCTCTTAAGATGGTCATCATTACCAGAGTTCTAGTTTTTGTTTTCTTCATTACTGGGAATGGAACCCAGGGCCTTTGGACGGCGCAGTATCCCCAGCCCTTTTGTTGGAGGAGAGGGTGAGATAGGGTCTCGATATGTAGGCCAGACTGGCCTTGAACTTGGCAAATAGCTTCCTGCCTCAGCCTCCTAAGTCCTGGGATTAACAGGCATGCATCACCACCCTGGACTCTTGGCCCTTTTTTAAAAAAAACTTATTATTTTTTAGTTTGAGATAGGATCTCGCTAAATTGCTGGGGCAGGGCTTGAACTTTTGATCCTCCTGCCTCAGCATCCCAGAGCACTGGGACCGAAGGCATGTGCCGGCTCATCTGGCTTGGCCAAGATCTTTTTTTTTGGGCTCACTCTAGTGGCCTTTTTATTTAGTTAGCTTTAGTTTGTTAGTACATGTGTGGGGTATAAGACGTTTACTTTTCTGCTGGGAAGCTGGTACGTGGACAGAACACATCAATTCCTTTTTCCATTCCCTTTCCCTCCCCCGCCCCCGCAAACTCTGTATTGCTCGGTTTCATCCCAGCCCTGCCAGCACGTCTCTCTGGGAGCAGCTTTCTCTTAGGGTCTCGGGCGGAGAGGTCCCCTGCCTACTCCGGGGCGCTGTTGGAGGGAGAGGAGAGGTTGACCCGGGAGATGCACCTGCTGGTACAGGCGGGGTGGTCCCAGTTGACAGACTGTGAAATGCGAACGGACCCGGGAGCCAGCTCAGCCGGCCGAGCGGTGTGGGAGCTGGGCTTCCCGGAGAGTCTGGGTGCTCTGATGCTGTGTTGTGGGTGCTGCTCCTCAGAGTGGCCCTCGGGCTGGTGCCCTGGGCTGGTGAACTCTGCCCAGGAGCAAGGGGAGGGCAGAGCATTTCTCAGCTGCCCCAGAGTGGAGCAGCGCCTGCGTGAGGGCTGCAGGTGCCCAGGCAGGCTCTGGGCCCCGCATGGGGTGTCCTCACCCAGCCTCTCACGCCCTGAGCTGCTCTCCGCTTGTACCCTGTGATGCAGAGGCGTAGCGCACTCATCTGCTTGGTGCCAAGTGTCCTGAGATGCCAGTTTGGCCTTTTTTGGGTTTTTGAGACAGGGTCTCAGAAACTCCAGGCTGGCCTTGACTGGCCTCCAACTCATGGTGATCCTCCTGCTTCAGCCTCCCAAGTGCTGGTATTAGGGGTGTGGCCACCACGCCTGGCTGTTATGTGGCCCTTTGTCTTTCCACTGGGTGCAGTGGCTTGGGTGGAGCCAGCAGGCGCAGCCTGCACCGTCCCCAATGCTGCCTGCCTAGGGCTTCTGGGTTCTCAGCTCTCGCCGATGTGGCAGAATTGCAGAGTGAACAGAGACAGTAAGCAGGGCCTGTGAGCAAAGCAAAATAGTTCAGCCCCCATCGGTATCTAATTGGAAATCTTGGATCAGCCTAGAAGAAATACCAGGACCTGCCCAGCCCTCAGGAGAGTCAGCGGTGGCCGCCCCGTGTTCTCGGTGATGCGGTCTCAGCTGCAGGGGATCGTAGCCCCGGGCAGGCAAGCCGGGGAGGGAGTCACAGTGCGCATGCCCGGCAGAGGCCGCCCTGGGCTCTTCGCAGTGAGACTTCAAGGGGCAAAGGGGATCAGCTGGCTTTTTCTTTTCCTTTTCCTGTTCCCTAGATAGAGTGCTGAGGCTTAATGCCCCCCCAAAAAAAGCTTTGAGCAACTTCCTGGGACCCTTTAGGCAGGGCAACAAGTTCTCGCCGCGCTTGCTGGCCCTTCCAGTAGGACAGTGAGGCCCAGGCAGGATGCCGACTGCGAGGTCGCCGCCTTGGGGAGAGTTCTGGGTGGAGACTGAGGGGGGTGGCGTCTGTGTTCTTTATCTTCACAGCAGCGATGGGCCTCCTGCCGTGAGTCTAGTGTGTGGCCGGAGGTGCTGGGCCCCGCTGGGGAGAGGAGACCTGCGGGCCAGGCCTCCCCAGGGAGGGGACCAGCTGAGCGGTTGGACGGGCCTGTGGAGTGCGTCCTCACCCCGTGCCAGGAGATGCAGATTTGCAGGTTTTCTCCCTCTCCTCTTAAGCTCTTGTTTCCTTTCTTCCCCTCCGCATTCCTGTGGGATTTGTTAATTCATCACTTTATTCCAGGAAGATGTATTAAGCACCTGATGCAGTGTGTCCAGGCCCCTGGGGCCCCGCAGTAAGAGAAGCCTTTACCTTCAGGGTGCGTGTTCTCGGTGGGAGACGAACTCGTAGGTATTTGTGAGAAAGTAAGAAGTGCTCAGGACAAAGATAGAGGAAGCTGGGCGCGGTGCTGAACACTTGTACCCCGGGCTGAGGCAGGAGTGTCCCAGCCAGTCGGAGGCCAGCCTCGGCTGTGTACGGAGTTCACAGCCAGCCTGAACTGCAGGGAGAGAGACCTTGTCTAAAACAACAGCAAGAAAAGAGGGAGGGCAGGGAAAGAGGTTCCTGGGAGGAGGCAGGTCACATGTGACAGGAAAGGTGTCAAAGAGAACGTGACACTAGAGTGAGCCCTGAGAGGGGAGAAGCGGGGCGTGCGCCCCCCCACGTGAGCTCAGGACACTCCGTTAGCCTGAGTTGGATGCA